ATGTGGTATGCATAAACATCAAAATTAAGTGTTCAACTCTGGAATAGAATGGGGGACAATACTATCAAGTAAAGCTATGCCAAGGAATGTCAACTGTATTTGAAATTTTACTTCTTAATAAGCTGAATAATTACCATTACTTATATTATTCCCTATATTCTTTCTATCTCTGAAACAATTAGTTATAAAATCTAGAAAGACAATATAAACATATAATCAATAAGCAAGAACTTAGGAAACATAGCACCTATGACTTTTCTGGAAAAAATTTCAAAGGAATTCTAGAACAACCAAGAATTAAATAAAAATTTAAATTGGGACGCCTGGGTGGCTCAGTGGTTAAGCACCTACCTTTGGCTCAGGGCGTGATCCCTGGTCCTGGGATCAAGTCCCACATCAGGCTCCCTGTGGGGAGTCTGCTTCTCCCTCTGCCTATGTCTCTGCCTCTCTCTCCGTCTCTCTCTCTCTCTCTTTCTGTGTCTCTCATGAATAAATAAAAAATCCTTAAAAAAGAAAAATTTAAAGCTTGCAGTATGAAGCAGGAAGATGGTGGCAGAGTAGGAGGACCCAAAGCTCACCTTGTCCTACTAATAACATAACTAGGTAACTATAAAATTTTCCTAAATACCTCTGAAATCAGCCTCATGATGGACAGAACAAACTCTACAACTAAAGGGAGAGAAGAAACCACATGGAAGAAGGTAGGAAGTATGGAGACATGGTTTCAGGGAGACAAAGATCTCAGGTACTGTGGGGGAAGGGTCAGAGAGAAGGGCAAGAAAGAGAGAGGGAAGCACACAGGGGAAAGCACAAGGAAAACATTTCCCCAAAGTCACTGACTTGGAAAATGAGAGGAGCCAAATTTCATCAGTTCTTGCAAGCAGTGGAGACTAAAGCCTAGAGTTTAAAGGTCAGCGGGCTTGGCTGGGATAGAGTCCTGGAGAGATAGCAGGCAAACAACCTGGGGGCAGACAAAGCAGAAACACCTGGGGCACACAGTGAGGAAATTACACACTCTTCTCAGAGCACTCCCTTCAGAGATAGCATTCACAAAGACACCTCTCTGGGAACAATGGAGCTTGCCAGCGCCATTTCTTTCCCTGACCCTCAGCATAAATACAAGGCCACCTGTGGGAAGCAGCACAGCACCCACACTGGGCTGCTTAACTTGCTTACACTAAGCCCCACTCCCCTGGGCTCCAGTGGAACTGCCCTTCTCAGTCACACCTGCCTCAGTCTCAGGGCAGTGGGACCCTGTCCCAGAAGATCAGTACATATCCCTCCATACCACGTCTTCAGACCAGAGAGTTTAGAAGGGCCTAAATTACAGTGGAGATGGTGGCAGGTCTCATTTCACAAGCAGAGCAAAGTATACCAAGCTAAAACTTGCCACATTCAAGCCAGGAAGCAAACACTGCTGACAGCAGGCAAGGAGGGCCTCTATCAATGACTGGATGAAGGGCAGAGCAACCAGAACACAAAAGCAGAGCACATGCAGCATACACAGGAGACACTAACACTCCCCTGCTTGGGCAATACATGACCTCTCCTTCCTCATAAGGCCTGACTGTTCTAACACCTAGAAGAAGGCAGACACTTAGATAAAATGTAAAGACAGAGGAATTTATCTCAAATGAAAGATCAAGATAAGGCCATACCCAGAGATCTTTGAAACAGATATAAGGAACATACCTGATGAAGAATTTAAAGCAATGATGATAAGGATACTCACTGGCCTTGAGAAAAGAAGCCATTGGTGAGACCCTCACCACAGAGATAAAAGAGTTAAAACAGAATCAGAGATGAAGAGTGCAATAAATGAGATCAGAACCACACTTGATGCAATGAACAGCAGGCAAGAAGAAGCAGAGGAACAAATTAATGACCTAGGAGACAAAATAATGAAAAGCAATGAGGCTGAACAAAAGAGAGAAAGAAGAATTATGCCACAGGAGAATAGACTTAGGGAATTCAGTGACTCCATCAAACATAGTTAACATTCATATTATAGGAGTCCCAGAATGAAAAGAGAAAAGGGGGCAGAAAATTTATTTCAAGAAATAATAGCTGAAAACTTACCTCAGGGGGAAGTAAACAGACATACACCTCCAGAAAGCACTCTGCTCAAGATCAGTAACAGCAGGCCAACACGAAAACATATTGTAATCACATTTGCAAAATAGAGTGATAAAGTCTTAAAAGCAGCTACACAAAAGAAGTCATTAACTTACAAAGGAAAACCCTTAAGACTAGCTGGAGATTTCTCAACAAATTTGGCAAGCCAGAAGGGAATGGCACAATATATTCAAAGTGCTGAACGAGAAAAATCTGCAACCAAGAATACTCTATAGGGCAAGGCTGTCATTCAGAATAGGAGAGGTTTCCCAGGCAAAGAAGAACTAAAGGAGTTTGTGACCACTAAACCAGCCCTGCAAGAAATATTAAAGGGGACTCTTTGAGTGGAAAGGAGAGATCAAAAGTGACAGTATAAAGGTAGGAAAAACAAAAACAGTATAATTAAATATTTCACTAAAAACCAATATAGGAACTCACACACCAAAAGGATATAAGTAAAATAACATCTACCTAAAATGGGAGAGGAGAGGAAGAAAGAATGGATACAAACTTGAACAACCATCAACTTAATATAGACTGATATTTGGGGGCACCTGAGTGGCTCAGTCAGTTAAGTGTCCTGACTTCATTTGAGCTCAGGTCATGATCTCAAGGTCATGAAATGGAGCCCTCTGTCAAGCTCCACACTAGCAAGAAGTCTGCTTAAAGTCTCTCTCTCCCTCTCCCCCTGCTCATCCCCCTTTACGTGCTCTAAGAAAAAAATAAATAAATCTTTAAAATGTGTGTGTGTGTATAGCCTGATATTGCAGAAGAGATTATATGCAAACCTAATGGTAACCATGTAACAAAAGCACTAATAAACCTGCAAAGAATAAAGAAAGAAATCCAAATATATCACTACAGAAAATCAGCAAAAACATGAAAAAGGATCAGAGAAAATCTCCAGAAACAACCACAAAACAAGTAATAAAATGGCAATAAATACATATCAATAATTACTCCAAATGTAAATAAATTATATGCTCCAATCAAAAGACATAGGGTTGACAGAGTAGATGAAAAAACCAACACCATCTATATGCAGCCTACAAGAGACTCATTTTAGATCTAAGACACCTAGAGATTGAAAGGGAAGAGATGGAGAAACAATCACCACACAAATGGATGTCAAAAGAAAGCTGAATACCAATACTTTATCAGACAAACTAAACTTCAAAGACGGTAACAAGAGACGAAGAAAGGCATTATATAATAACAAAGGGGAAAATTCAACAAGAAGATACAATTGTAAATATTTATGCACCCAACATAGAAGCACCCAAATATATAAAACAATTAATAACAAACATAAAGGAACTAATTGATAATAAAATAATAGTAGGGAATTTTAATACCCTACTTACATCAATGGACAGATCATCTAAGCAGAAATCAATCAATAAGAAGACAATGGCTTTGAATGACACACTGGACCAGATGGACTTAACAGATATATTCAGAACCTTCCATTCTAAAATAGCAGAATACACATTCTTTTCAAGTGCATATGGAACATTCTCCTAGAACACGTCTTAGATCATAATACAGGACTCAATAAATACAAAATGACTGAAGTCCTACTACACACCTTTTCTAACCACAGTGCTATGAAACTAGAAGTCAACCACAAGGAAAAGTCTAGAAAGACCACAAATACATGGAAGTTAAACACCATGTCAAGTAAGAAATCAAAGAAGAAATTTTAAAAGTACATGGAAACAAATGAAAACGAAAATACAATGGTCCAAAACCTCTGGGATGCAGCAAAAGCTGTTCTAAGAGGGAAGTTAATAGCAATTCAGGGCTATCCCAAGAAGCAACAGAAACCTCAAAGAACCTAAACTTATACCTAAAAGAGCTAGAAAAAGACCAACAAAGCCTATAGCCAGCAGAAGAAAGGAAATAAAGATTAGAGCAGAAATAAAATGATATTAAAAAAAAAAAAGATCGGTGAAACCAGGAGGAGCTGATTCTTTGAAAAAATTAATAAAATTGATAAACCCCTACCCAGACTTACCAAAAAGAAAAAAGGACCCAAATAAATAAAATCACAAATGAGAGAAGAGAAATAACCAACATCACAAAAATACAAACAACTGTACAAGAATATTATAAAAAACTATATGCCAACAAATTGGACAACCTAAAAGAAATGAATAAATTCCAGGACATATAAACTATCAAAACTGAAACAGGAAGAAATAGGAATTGAATAGACCAATTACCAGCAAAGCAACTGAATCAGTAATCAAAAATCTGCCAACAAAAAAGTCCAGGACCAAATGGCTTCACGAGGGTGATTTCTAACAAATATTTAAATGAGTTATTATGTATTCCTCTCAAACTATTCCAAATAAATAAAAAAGGAAGGAAAACTTTCAAATTTATTCTATAAGGCCAGCATTACCCTGATACCAAAATCAGATAAAGAAATCACAATAGAAGAGAATTACAAGGGCGCCTACATGGCTCAGTAGGTTAAGCATCTGATTCTTGATCTCAGAATCATGAGTTCAAGCCCCATGTTGGGCTCCATTCTGGGTACAGAGCCTACATTAGAAAAGAGAGACAGAGAGAGAACTAGAGGCCAACGTCCCTGATGAGTACAGCATACTTAATGATGAGTATTGAGTAATGTATAGAATTCCTGAATCACTATACTGTACATCTAAAACTAATATAACACTGTATGTTAACTATACTAGAATTAAAATTAAAAAAAACAACAAAATTTTTTAAGAGAGCATTTTAGGAGAAAGGGTGAGGAGGAGATAAATATACACATATAGGCATACACACACACACACACACACACACACACACACACAGTAAGAATGAGATATAGCCAGATGTAGGAAACTAAATTCCAAACACCTGCACCTCACCTTCTTCTGAAGAACATTAACCTTCCTCTCCTTCACATCCAGCATGTCCTTGAGGTCATGAATCTCTCCAGCTTGTGTCCCCTTCTCCTCCGCCATATCCTGAATTTGTTTTGTCTTCTTATTCAGCATGGTTTCCTTTTCTTCCAAACGCAATCGGAGAGCATCCACCTAAGAATTTTTTTTTTACAAATGATTAATTGAAAGAAAGGAATGTAATCCCTTCCAAATACATGTGTATCGTTGCCCAGATGAAATCAAATAGAGTGGTATTCTATTATCGGTAAATATAATTATTGCTATTTAGAAATTAAACCCTAAAACTTTATGAGCGCTTTTGTAATAAAAATAAATTTACATCAGTTAAGTAAACAATGATATCAGGATAAATAGATCTGAATCAAAGACAATATGAAGAGATCTCTATTATAAAGAGATTGAGTTTTGCCAATTCTATTGAAGAGTTTCAACAGATTCTTGGGCCCAGCCACAAGAGTTTCTGATTCAATGGGTTTGGGGCTCAAGAATTAAGTTTTTCTAAAAAGTTCCTAAGTGATGCTACACTGCTTTAGAAAATCTAAAATTAGAAAGAAAACCATAAACATCCCAAAGCATGACTCTTGCTGTATCACAAAATAGAAACTAGAGGTAGAATATGATGCTTTTTAGACGAACAATCCCATAATGCACTGAAACATCTGTGCAAAGGAAAGCAAGGTCTACTTTCAGGCCCAAAGACTAGTCTGCTAAAGTCTGGCATCCAATTACCTTTATCCCCCAAGCTTAACAGTTTTCTCTAAATATAACTTTCAAATAACTAGAAATCTAATGACAGTACTTATTTTTAAATCCATTCAAACCAAATTTCACTAAGCAAACTCATACACCAAAATTATTTTGGTTTTTTTTTTCTTTTTCTTTTCCACTAAGGATTTATAATTCAGCACAGTTACCTACTTATAGCAGAACAGGGAGGTGGATTTCTTTCATCTTAAGACAATGTTGTTCAACAGAAATATAATGTGAGTCATATGCAAGCCACATATGAAATTTTAAACTTTCTAGCAGCTACATTAAAAAATAAAAATAGATAAATTTTAATAATATATCCTGTTTAATCTATGATATCATTCCAAACATGTAATCCTTAATAAAAACTATTAATGAGCTCTTTTATTTTACATTCTTTATTTCATACTACATCTTAAAAGTCCAATGCATATTTTATATACCATATTTCAAGTGCTCAATAGCCATATATGGCTGGTGGCTACCACACTGAAAATACAAATCTAAGATATCAAGTATGTTTCTATAAAACTTCCTTATCTTGAACTTATTGTGTATTATTTTTCCTGGCTGTCTGTGGATTAACCAATCCACAAAGAAAAATTAGTTAACATAGGTAATGACTCACATTTACAGTATACCAAGATTATCAGGAAAAATCTAATATTATATCTAAACTATAAGGTATCTGAGAACCAGTACTGTGTGTATGGTAGTACTTACTGCTTAGTAAGTACTATGGAAAATTTCCCACAAGACTAATCTCACTTGAGACTCTATAGTTAAGTCATTATGCACTTATAAATTATCTTAGACTATGTTGGAAAGGAAAAATATGTAAATAAACTAGATTTCACTCTGCTAAACTGAATTTCTACCAAGCATGTCAATGCCACTAATTCCACCAAGCCCGTAATTGGGGAGTAGTCTTTTTAGTGTCCATTTGTAATTCTTCAAAGTTCTACCATGCCCCCTCAATAAATACTTTTCCCTTCTGATTTCCTTCTATTCCATTTTAATAAATGATATATTGTAACCTTATTATATTCTGGAAAGGTCCACCTAAGAACTTTCAAACTCTTAAACTCTTATTTCTGAAATCTGTTTTCTTTCTTCTACACCTACTAAATCTATTCTTTATGCATACCATAACCTTTGATATATCATCTCTTTTTTCATCATTCATCCCTATTCTGGTTTATCTTGTTTTTCTCCCAGCCTGAGCAATCCTTTCAAACAGCCTCTTATCATTTCAAATGGTTTTCTTCATTCTACCCTCAAGATTTCTGAACCTTTCTGCATATGGTCATGTATATGCTCGCCAACCATATATACAATATATTAAAAATTCTCCCAATTCTATCCTCAAGCATCATATCTTCACTTGTATTCTCCCTGTGTAAAATTTCACTTTCCCATGGCAATCTGGGAAACCAGGACTTAGAAAAGGTAGTTATAAATAAGCAATAGAGCAAGAATTTAAGATTAACTAGTCTATCTCCAGATCCTACAATCTTAACCACTAATTATATAATACACTACCCCTCTAAGAGCTAGACAAAAATATATATATTTCATTTAAGTAAAATTCTAGAAAATGTACACTAATTACAGTAATAGAAAAGAATAGTAATAGATCAAGAATTCCCTGGAAAGAGGATGAAAGGGGGAGCAGTGAAGAATATCAGGCAAAGGCAAAAGAAAGGGATTACAAAGAGGTAGGAGAAATATGGGGAGCATGTTCATTATCTTCACTGAGGTACTGGAAGGAAATATAGGAAAATACTTTTAAGACATTGAGGCATGGAAGGCTTCATTTTTAAGGACACAGAAAGGATACACCATAAAGAAAACATACTGTTAAATCTAACTGTGCTAAAATTTAAAATTTCACATCATGGTACCATTTTACAGTGTTGTTTTCCTTTTATCTACACTTTATGTGCCTGAAATAGTTCTTAATAACAGTAATATTAAAGAAAATTGGTGAATGTTTATACTTGCTTTAAAAAGTCAGTATTTTATAAATGAATAAAATTAAATGTGATCCAATATTGAATTTCAATTTTTTAAATTTATGACCATTTATAATCACTCTGAAAAAATCTAAATATCTAGGTATAAATCTAACAAAACATGTAAAGGATCTATACACTGAAAATTACAACTAATAAAAGAAATCAAAGAAGATCTAAACATGTTCTTCCCTTGACTATCTTATAAAATGTCATGTGTCAAGATAGCCAGCCTACTTAAAATTTTCCTCAGAGACCTGGAAAAAGAAAAGATTAAAGTAATTTTAAAAAATGTTTTGCTAACAAACAGAACTACAATAAATCAAGGCCAATGAATCCAAGAGATATCACCAACAAAAATGTGCAAGTTTTGCTGCCTGCATAAAGTACTAAAGATCTCAGAGCAAGAATTAAAATCCAATACAAAACAATGATGAATTAGGTGATTTCCAGAGTTCCACAACAGTCCTTTCTAAAGTGCAAGATGACAAAAGTCTTTACACTTCCTTGGTTTTCCGTCACCAACCTATTCAAATCACAAGCACTCTACCATGCAAAGAAACAAAAAGATCTACAAGACAAATGTCAGAACTGAATACTGATTCAATTTGGAGAAAAGGATTGCCACCATAGAGCAAAGACCTTTGTGGAATATGAAATTCAACAACCAGCCTGCTTAAGATGCCAAAAGAGCCCATTGACCCTTATCCACTTGGCATTCAGGCACAGCTCAAGCTGGCCTGTGTGGCTACTAATCCTATTTGACAGTATCAGATTTGGTTCCAATTAGCTGAATCCATTACAGGGCATCAGTCACGGTTAATTCAACAGGGTACTTATTGAACCCACAGACTCTTCTGCACAGTTAAAGAGGTCAAAGTCTTAGAAAAGTATACATGTCAGAAATTTTTAAAATACATAAATTATATGCTAAATCATTTGCACCTAATTTCTACATTCTAATTTGTATTCTGTATACTCTATATTCTACTTCTAACCATATACCACATATCCCAATAACCACAAGCAAAAAACAAAGTAAATCACCTAAAGACGTTTCACACAATATTCCCAAAATACATTAAATTCTTTTTATAAGGGCAAAAGCCCAGACATTTAAACTTATAGATAAGTCTTAACTGCCGAATTTCCTTGTCTCTCAGTTCTTCTCTACATTAATTTCAGAAAAATGAAATGTTTTCCACCTATGGGTAAGGAATCAGAATACAACACGAATACATCCCTTAGCATTTCTAAATGTTTCTCATCCTGATAGTAACAAAGTCCCACAGAACAATAACTGTAAGACCTCATATTGCTATTCTTTACCAAGAGTCCCTAGATGTCGTCGCTGCATTTTTACATTATCCCTCACTCACTTAACTGACCCGTCAACGTGCCAGTGCTACCAAGTCATAAATACCTGCATGCCATTTTGGGAGAATGTCAGGTATGAGACCCACAGGAATTGATGACTGAAAAGGTAAAAAATGAAAACTCTCGTAATAAACATACAAATCTTTGGTGTAAGAGTAGCTGGAAATGTAGGCTTTCATATAAAAAGTATCTCACATCACAAATATTATGTACTCAAGTCCATTCTCTAATCACTAAGTGATCTTTTCTTTACTAAGTATTCAATTCAAATTACCAAATACACTTTCTCTTTGTCTGCTTTTCTCATGCAATGCAGAATTTAAATGTGCTGGTCTGGAGATCTAAGATAAAAATAACCACAAAAACCACTCTGCTACTACTAGATTGATTGCTCTGAACTCTATACTGATCTTTTTGGTTAGTAGTGAGTACATAGTACAATTTTGCGTGAGGTCCATATTTTGCAAACCACAAAAAAACATATTCAGGAAAGCCCCTCAGAGACTAGCGGGACACACGTCATCACACTAATACTATGGCTGGTAGGAGGAATAAGACACTGTTTATTCCACCAAATGCACTGGAGGAACAGCATCCATCTAGCTTGCCAAGAGTCAAGGTCTGTGGCAAACAGGTTATGCCAACTTCAACAAAAACAGGTTTTTCTCTACAAGATTTTCTCTACCAATGGACATGAACAGAAAAATAGCTACCTTGCTCTTTTGGTCTCTTACCGATGATCACAAAACTATTAATTATCTTAAGCTATCTTAACCTTCTTTCATTTTACATCAATAAATACATCTATTTAAATATACATGAGCAGTAAGAATTGCACGGATACAATGGCTTGTTTCCTAAAACTCCTATCTTGGCTTTGCCAATGATTTACATCTTTCTAACTCTCTGACCCCATCTCTTCCATTTTTTTCCACTGAATCCTCTGTCATTTTCCCCTCCTTACATCTCTACTTTATAAAACTTCCTCTG